CTGCCAATCAATCAATCAATCAATCAATCAATCAATCTTTTGAATGAATTTGTTTTTCTTTTTTTTCGTTTTTTTTTTTTCACGCTCGATCAATCAATCAATCAATCAATCAATCAATGTGCACATGTTAATCAATCAAACAATCAATCAATCAATCAATCAATCAACGAATTAATCAATCAATCAATTTTTTTTTCTTTCACCCGGGACCAAAAAAACATTTCTTTTTTTTTGCGGTTTTTTTTAATGGGGGTTTACCCCCTGACACCCGACCCCCCCCCAGCCCATCCACCCCCTCACCACCCCTCCGGAAGGCCATGTACGGACGGCCCGAAGTTCGTACGTACGGGTCGTATGGGTGCCGGGGGGGGCGTACGTACGTACGGGCCGTATTCGTACGGCGGTATACATTGCAAGCCGATTTTATCTGAAGAATAAGATCATGAACAATTACTAGCCTATTCGCTGAAGAGGAATTTTAGAAGCAAAAGACGTCATCACTAAGGTCCTATAAATGCTAAAAACCCTCGGAATCCCTAACAAATCCTTCTAAAAATATCCAACACTGTCTTACTCCCTATGGAGCTCTTCCAGGTCTCACACCCCCACCCGCTCGGGTTACAAGGCAACACGACTCACCCCAACTCCGACCAGCGTCGTCCCAGCGGTAACCCTTAGTTGTCCATTGAAATGCCCACCCCAAAGCATTTCCAGATCTGTCCACCAGGCCTCACACTCCTGCATCAGCAGGTTACAGGGCAACACCCCAGTACCGGCCAGCGTCGTTCTGGTATCGGACAACTGCAGATCACTGAGTATAATAGTGATAAAGCCTCCTAAAATGAGTTGCTAAGGGTCCCCAAAATTGCAAAACATTCGTAAGACCACGTTTTTTCAAGATTTGATCACGGAAATATTCGGACCGAAAACCACCTACCTTTAGCGACTATCAGCAACTCAACCCTATCCGCCTCTCTCCTATACCTCGATATCCAATCTCTACCAGGCCTCCCACTCCCAACTGCTAGATTACAGAGTGGCACGACCAACCCCAGAAATTCCCCCACCTGCTAGGTTACAGGGCAAAACGACCCGCCCCAACTTCAGCCAGCGTCGACTAAGTATTAGTTCGCCAATAGACACTAGAGTGCCTTCCACCCTCGACAACTTCCCAGATCTCACTACCAGGTCTCTTGTTCCCGTACCGCTCGGGTTAGAGGGCAGCCGACCAAGCCCCAACACCGACCAGCGTCGTTCTCACCTCGTCCATTCACAAACCACTGGAGCTAAAGACATCAGCAGATACCAGACAAACCACCAATCGTCGCCACGAGTATAGTTCCAATCATCCTTTCTTTCTGGCACTGGCTGCAAAAACATCCAACGAAACCTTCTCAACCTTACTACGGCAAGACTTACTACGGTAGATCCACCATCTCCACAGCTGTTGTGCCCTATTTCCGCCGTACTGACTAGCCCCTT